TAAGGGTCAGTGTGAGCTGGAATAGCCCTTTGCAGGTCCACCCTGACACCCCATGGAGGGCTGAAGCGTGGCTATTTTTGGGTCCTCACCAGGGTCGCTCCACATGACCTGCTACCTGGCAGGGGGTACAGTGAAAAGAGAGCATTGAATTAACAAGTGACTAGTGTTTGAAATGCAAGGTCGTGGCTTGCAATATGGGTGGTCAGTGAAATCTAAAATACATTTGTTTTAGGAACTTGAAAATACATTGCTCATTTCTCGGAAACAGCTGAATGACTGTTATGTACTTACAATGGAAGTCAATGGGGAAAAACGCACAATTAAGTAAATATGTTTTATGTATGTTTTTAGGCACTTTTTTCTTATGTAGAAGCCAAAAGGTAAGTTTTTTTTAATATTATTCTTTGCAATTCTATATTGTATTTTATAATATTATTCTTTACAATTCTATCTATTATATTGCTATTCTTTGCAATATAATAAAAGTGAATAAAAGTGGCTGTCAATCTCTAAGATGACAAAAATATCACAAAAAGTAGCATAAAACAGACTTCTGCTCTGTATTACAAGTCTTCTGATGTCATGTGATAGCTTTGTCAGAGGAACAGATTAAAGTTAAAATTCATTATTCACTAATAACTCTCCCTGGCACATTCATGAGATTAGTAGTGATGTCCAATTAGTGAATTACGCATTCTTTTGAAGCAGATATTTCAAATGAATTGACTGACCCGATTCACAAAACTGGTCAGAATGATTCATTCACAAATTAAAGAGGAGCATGAGTCATCTGAACCATTTTTGATACCTTTTTGAGAGATTGAAGATACAAATTTTGCAGAAACGGGTTCACCATGGTATTTGTGTAAAAATAATGCTATTGTACATCAGTGGTAATATTTCTTTCGCCCACATCTCTGCCTGTGGCTTACAGTCTTAAATGAATTGGGAGTTTTGTAGAATTAAATTCCGATCAGGTCAGGTCTGTAAACTCAGCATGTTTCTTCTGTTCTACTGTGCTGAAGCAGCAGGACTAGTGAGTGGAACACAAGACCGGACTGCATGAGACAAATTGCTTTCTCTGTCCCATTTGATTCAACCTCTGTGATGAGTGGGACACATACTGTGCACGCAGAAAGGTACAAATTTCTCCCTTTTTGCTTTTTGCTTCGTGAACAGTGATAAATCTGTGAATGTATGTGAACCAAAAAAGAAGAAAGGAAGAGAAAAGGCCCGTGTCTTTCCTCGTCCTCTTTGCTGCTCAGTAATCAAATTCAACTAGGTTTCTGTTGTCTGATAATTGAAATGTTTAAGTGTGAAAATCGAAATGATCTCCACTTCGAGTAAAACATCTTCACTTCGACAAATGAGAACGTTCCAGTTGCATAAGTGATTCGGTCTGCTCACCTCTCCTCTCTGCGTAAAATAGAAATTGTGTTGAGAAAGTGCAAATCCCCCCCCAGACAAAAGCCGTCCCTTTCATGGCCGACAAGCAGCGAAAGCCATTGGAGAGGGTCAGTTTTGTTTGAAAACACTCCCTCTCTCATGCTTTTGAGAGAGTAGCTTGATGCAGAAATGAAGAGTGTCTACTTCTTCTTTTGTGGTACGGGCCAATAGCAGTCAGGCAATGCGTTTTCAGCCGTTTGATGTTTTAAAGAGCGAGAGATTTTGTCATTCTGAAGGATTTGATCAGTCGACTAGCAGACACTTGATTAATGGAACTGATCCCTTTCGGTATGGGAGATCCCCTTCCGTCCCCTCCCCGTTCGCTCCCGGGCCTTGTTTTCCGTCTTTGGGACGTGCAGAACGAATGACACAGATGTTGTTGGAGGAGACAGTCCCCGTCCCTCTCCTCCTCTCCCGCGCTCCCAGCATGGGGCCTGAAACTTGTTTTTCAATCATTGTTTCTGCCAACTTCTTTCCCAAAAGAGAAAAGCGAGGCGAGAAAGAGGAGGGAGAGAGCGGAGGGAGCGCTAAATAAAAGAGGGAGGGAAAGTAAATACAAAGCATTTGTGGAATATAAAGAAAAAACATTCTTTATAACAATCTCCTGATAATTTAGCACCACAAGGACTGTGGGGAGAAGGGTGGATCGGTCAGAACCGCTTTTGGGATGGTGTAGTGGAGGGTGCAGAGCCAGAGGAGAGGAGCTTTAAGCTGAAGATGCAGGTGTCAGCATGGCTGCTGTGGGTGGCATGGCTGTGTACCTGGACCGAGGCGGCACACCAGTGCCAATGCCAGTGCGCATGCCCACCTGAGGAGCAGGTGGCGCAGAGATCAGCGAGGTCGGAGGGGAGAGGGCACCTTCGTCACCGCCTGGCACACCAGCAGGCGACACACAGGGACAGGGCCCATCGCAGGAAAGGTAAAACTAATGGATTTTTGGGGGAATATACAGTAGCACTTTTAAGAAAATTTATAATGTAAATTATATTTGCCTTTTAGTTCACGTTTTGGTAAAGAATAAGCACTCAAATTAATAATCTATAAACTTGGAGAATTTTTTTTTAAAATTTTTATCCAGGACCGAATGGTGATTTTATTCAGATTTTTTTATTAACCTAATGGCTTCGGCAGCTGATTTCAGGCATATCAGCATGGGGTCCAAAGCATGAAATTAGAAAGACAGTGATAACTTGATAAAGTCTTTCTCACTTCATGATTTTCACTTGTGGACACTCTTGATTTAATTTACATGTGAAGAATTTATTAAGTAAGTGTGACGGTACCATAGTGCATTCCATTTGCATGGCTATTAGAAGTTTTACTGTTTAAAAAACTTTTGTTGCTGTAGTTTATGATGTATTCGACCTTTTAGTGATTGGCTTTTGGAAACTGTAGGGAAATGATTAACAGGGGAAAAGATGCTGTTAAACCCATTTCCTCTTCCTTTGCTATTCTTGGTATAGTTTTTATTCATTCATATGTTTTATTTGTTTGTAATAAAAAATCCTCCCAACTGGATTCAACTATATTTATATAACATGAAATATAAAATACGTATTTCATTTTGTGTTTCAGCAGGGTTTCAGCTAGTTTTATTTCCAACATAACATTCTTGACCACTTGTTACATATTAAAAGCATGCTTTATGCCTTACTTTAGTCAGTTTTGGTAAAATAATAATAATAATGTTACGCTCAAACTCAGACATTGTTAAGGAATTCAAAGAGACTTATTTATGGGTAAAACGTGCTGAGAAGTTACTCTGGGCGCTAAATCAGCCTGGAGTTCTTTTGCGGTGCTGCTTTAATTCTATGTTGTGGTATGCAGCCCCATAGTCCCTCAACATCTTTTGTTAGTCGCTGAAAGCTGGTGATCCACAGGCCATCAAGGCACTGCTCTCTGGATCAATATACGTGTCCATCAGTGTGGCCTGCTCTTTTAGGCCACACAATGGACAGTTCTCTAAACAGCACTTTATTTATATGTGCCTTTCGAGAAAATGAACTGCCGCTGCCTCTGCTTTTCTCTCCTATCCTTTTCTTTTCGCTTTCTGTTTTCTCCTCTCTCCGTCTCAGCCCCTCAGCGACCGTATTTACAGACTTAATAGTAACTGGAATTAGCAAGTGTTGCTCCTCCGTGTTGTTTCAACTCTACAGTAGCAGCTGTGCTAAACTTTCACCTTTTGTTGATCCTTTGGTTGTATTATTTAAGAAACGTATGAATTTACAGCACAAGTTTGTGATTTAACGGAAAAAGTCTGTCACTTGAACAGTACCAATATTCACTTTAAAGTTGATCAACTTTTCTGATTTATGTGGGAATATTTCATTCTGATTTTTTTAATGACTCGTATGGTTAGCATCAGTTTGTATTCACATATTAAGCAATTTGTGCAGCTTAGAAAGGAAGTTTTTCTTGGCTGTGAGGTCTAATGCTTTCCTGTTTCTGTATGCTGTCATTACAAACATTTGATAGAGGTCTTCAGATAACACATTAAATTACTAACTCAACTAAAAGTGAAATTATACATGACCCCCACCATCGTCCTGCAGTGACAATAAAAGTTGTAAAAAACAAACAAACAAAAAACAAAAGAGTGGATATAGTAGGCTATAAAAGAAACAAATCTCGTACAGTAGTAGCCTATGTGTAAGTGTAACAAACACAATTTGGCCCAAAGTATGTCCCATTGTTTAAACTATGTCGTCTTGAATTCAAACCAAAACATAAACGGAGGGCAAAAGCACAACTTCAAAGTCCCACATGTGTAGTTTACCTCACCAATTGTTGGAGTAATTAGTTAGCGCTGGCTCGTCAAGTCGTCGGAGGTCATGAGCTGAGCTCCTGCTGCTGCTCCAGTCAGTCACCGGGGCGGGTCTCGATCCGGATGGCGCTCTGTTCAACACTCAGCCTGACTGAAACGACAGAGACATGACTGTGAAACCTGTAGATCTCAACTGAAATGCCATTCCGTCATATAACCTGTAAAACTATTCATTTTCGACGCGGATTTGTAACGCAGATAGTCTGACAGAACAACGATGCGTTTGTTTATCTTCGTAGACTGAATTCGACGTGACACGTAAAATGACGAGACACTTTATCAAGCTCTTTTGGGTTTTTGGGATTATTTATAATATTGAAGGTAAGCACAAAGTAAAGCCTAATTAACTGTTTTGTTCCAGTGTGTAACTGTCGCCAAGTAAGAGGTGAAGAAATCCTGTAATTCAGACAGACTATTTATTTATTATTATTTTTTTAAATTTAACAAAAAAGTTATTTCAATCCATAAAATAATTTTTCAAAAGGTTATTTCTAGAGATAAACTATATTGTTGTTTGTTTGCTTTTTTTGCGACAGATACGGATACATGTCATTTTCTTATAAATGTACAATAATTAATATCTAGAAACGATTAGTTTTATTTAGGCTACTGGTTTTGAAACAATAACTAAATGAGGAATTTGATTCAATTATTATTGAGATTATGATGATAATAATAAAAGGGCATATTTAATTTGTTTTGTGATCTAAATGATTCCAAATGTATTTTCATGACGATATACTGTATAATGTTCTCTTAAGAATAAATGGATGTAAAATGTAAATTACGCAAACAGTACATGTTACTTTACCTTTAATCCCCGTCATTGAGTCATTACTCCAGTCTTCAGTGTCAAATCATTCTAATATACTGATTTGGTGCTCAAGAATGTTTCTTATTATCATTAATGTTGAACAAAGTTGTGCTGCTTAATTTTGTGTATATAATTGTCTTTACTGTCACTTTTGATCTATTTACTGCACCCTTGCTGAATAAAAGGTTTAAGTTCTTTAAAAAATCTTACTGACCACAAACCTTTGAACAGTAGTTACTAGGATATACAGGTATATTATATATACACTCATTCTGACCTCATTCTGACCACTGATTTTCAGCTCTGCGAGAAGAGTTCCGTGTGCAGCCCAGTGACGTGGAGGTGGCGGTTGGCGAGGTGGCTGTGATGAACTGCAGCCCACCAGTTGGACATCCTGAGCCCAACATAACCTGGAGGAAAGACGGGATCCTAATCAACAGCAGCAATGAACATTACACTGTGAGTGCAAAACATACTCTAATCTGACATTGTTTTCTTAAAAAAAAAAAAAATGTCTTGAGAACTCTTCCCTGTATATGTCTGTAGAGGGCAGCGTGACACAGAAAGTGTATCACAGAGATAGACCTGTGCCTTAGGATCCTGAACAGTGTTTTGTGCGTCTGGATGACAGTATATTTCTGCGTATCTGTGTGTATAGGAACTGAATGGTAAACTGATCATTGCTCCGGCCCAGAAGAATGACTCTGGAGTTTACAGCTGTATAGCCTCCAACACAGTTGGAGTGAGAGAGAGCCGAGCGGCTCGGCTCTCTGTATTAGGTGAGACTCTATCTTTGCTCTAAAAGAGTATGAATAACTATTAAAGCATGGAGACTCATACATCTGACCTTCTTCCTCAGCTAAACCAGTGTTACTGCATAAACCAGAGGATGTTTCAGTGCAGCTTGGAGCATCTGCACAGTTTTTCTGTGAGGCCGATGGAGACCCTATGCCTTCTGTAGAGTGGAGCCGAGAAAAAGGACCTCTACCCAATGGCAGGTCAGATCATGATTTAATAATATAGAATCATTCAGTATATTGTAATATAGTCCCCCTGCAGTACATGAAAGAACCTTCAGGGGTCCCCCAGTTAAAAACCCCAGATGCATAATGATTGTGAAATTCCTTACAATTCACATTCCTAATCTTATATTACAATCGCATTTGCCAGATATTTAATCAACCCCGACCAGAGTCTGCAAATCCACTATGTGACGGCTCAGGACATGGGCAAGTACACCTGCACTGCGGAAAATAAGCTTGGGGTGTCTGTGGCCAGTGCACAGCTTCTTGTAGAGGGTAAGAATGCATGTAATCAGTCAAGTAACAGCACTTAAACCTCTTCCCAGCATGCCATTTGTTGAGATTAGTGATGTCTGGCTAATATATGTTATAGACGTAGGAAGCACCAGACTGAGAGACCTACACAAGGAGCTGTCTGCCTTACGCGTGAGCCTGGAGAACGTCACAGTTATGAGTACCGCCTCCAACATGTCTCAAGTCATGTGGAAGGTAATGCAGTTCACGCACCGCTCTTTAAATAATTGTATTTTCATTTTAAGACAGCATCATGTCATTAGTGTTTTCTCTTCTGTTTGTAGTTGCAGTCGTCTGCAGTGTCACAGCCTCATTATCTTGAAGGCTTTGAGGTGCTGTATCGCTCTCTCCTGCCGGCCAGCTCAGACTGGACAGCTCAAAGGGTTCCTCAGCCTGGCCTTCACACACATGTGGGACCTCTGAAGAGAGGCTACAAATATGAGTTCAAAGTCCGACCCTATGGCAGCAGCCTGTATGGCAGGGAAAGCAACACCAGACACTTACGAGTGCCAGAGATAGGTGAGAATCTAGAACATTCTTTACAAAAAAAGGACTGTGGTGGTATCTAGGGCTGCAACAACTAATTGATCAAATCGATTATTATCGATAATGAAAATCAATCGATTCTCATTATCGATTGGTTGAGTCTGCCCAGTGCACGTCCAACTTCAGCCGGTCGCATCAAATTACAGCACTGAATAACGTATTTCTATGGACAAAATGCATCTAAAAATAGTAGAGGAAACAGCTCTTGCAGGAAAAGTACGTGATCCAAGCTGCCCAAAACATGAAAAATCTTTATCTTAAGCTTCAATCAAGCTGATGCATCAGCGTAATGGCTTGCCCTGTCAGGCGCTTTGACAAATACGTGTGCGCGTCCACAGCGTGAAAAACTTTCAGTTAACGGTCATATCCTTATCTGTAAATGTCACAAATTCAAGCGAGCCTTTCCATTTGTGCATAAAGGCCCGTACTGACGGTCTGCGTTAAGTTGAAATCCTTATGCCGAGTTCACACTGCATGATTTTAACATGATTTTTCACTCGCCGACAGGTTTTGCGAAATCGCCGACAAATGCCCGAAATCGGAGGCAAATCGGTGCTCATTCACGCGACAGAGACAGACAGAGCTGTCGGCGATTCTTCCTATTGTAAAGTCATGCAGTGTGTAACCTCCTGTCGTCGTTCCATCGTGCAGTGTGAACACAGCAACAACTGAATGCTACCCCAGATAGTTGTTCAGTGTGAAACCAACAGTGACGCGACGTCTTTGAAAATCGTGCAGTGTGAACTCGGCATTACTGAAAGAGCGCTGGCACGGCGGGCACGCACGTTAAACAGACGGAACACAGTAGAGAGGGAGACAATATTCAGCGCAAAAACATTACTTGTGCTGAAATATCTGTTGTTGAACATTCAATTTAGCATTTAGCAAAAATAACATTTTTGTTATTATGTGAATAAATACTATTTAGTTGTTACGGGTTGTTGTTTGCCCAATAAATGGCAATAACATTTTTAGATTTAAACAAATTTTTGAGATTCCTGAAATATTAGTTTTCTCTATTATGACAGGTGGTCTAATAAATTGTTAAGCACTGTATGTTTTCATAGCATTCAGTTGGCACATTTGTTTGAAGGACATTGGGCAGAATGTGGAATAGTGTGTTTTTGTCAATAAAATTCAAATAAAGAGAATATTTTTTTGAATATTTTGGGGGGGGGGGGGGGTTCAGCCCTAGTGGTATCATGTTCAAAGATGGTAATACTATGCTTCTTTATTAATGATTACCATATACCATGGTATTTGCATGGTACTCCAAAGTACTTTAGTCAAGGGTCATTATTATTAACTAAAAAGATAAAGAACATTTTTGTTACTTGAAACAAAATAAACGTTAAATAAAATAAAATATATTTAAACTAGCAACTAACCTTTAGTTTAACTTGAAGTGCTAAAGTAACTAAAACTAAATAAACTAAAACTAATAAATAAAAATGAACAAAAACCATATAGGCATATTTTAAAAAATTATAAAATAAAAATGACAAAAAAATACACACATGTACTAAATTACTAAAACATGAACTATAACTATAAAAATTAAAACAGAAAATATTAAAATAAAATAATAACAGAAACTATAATAGTATATCAACAATACTAAGATAACGCTGATTATTTTGGGGGGGGGGGGCGTAATCTTATTGTGGTTACTTCATATTTGTTACTTCTGATAGTTATACTCTTTTGTACTTATGCACTGCCATTCAAAAGGTCAGTAAGTTCATGTGACACTGAAGACTGAAGTATCGATGCTGAAAACTCAGCTTTGCCATCACAGAAATAACTTACATTTAAAAATATATATTAAAATAGAAATTATTTCACAATATTAATCTTTTTATTGTATTTTTTATTAAATAAATGCAGCCCTAGTGAGCATAAGAGACTTCTTACAGAAACATAAAAAAATGTACTAACCCTAAACCATTGGACTATTAAACCCAAGCTGTCACCATGTGCTAACTGTAACCATGTCCCTTGTTCTCAGTCCCCAGCGCGCCACCTCAGGATCTGTCCATAACAATGCCCACTGACCGTAACGACACTGTGCACCTCAGCTGGGAGCCTCCACCTCATGACGCTCACAATGGAATCATTCAGGGATATCAGGTATTACTAGCATAAAGACACGCATTGTGAAACAATGCTAATAATGCCCTGAGAGGCTTTCTCTCCAGCAGATATGGAGAAACTCGTAAGAGACAATAGATTTTTTTTTGTAGTTCCAAAAATGTATGGAAATGTCATGTTTGATCAAAGGAAGCCTAGAAGCAGTTAAATAATTCATATTTTCAGCCTCAGAATCTCTGATCACATAAAAATCACATGACCCTGCCAAAATCAACCATTTCAGACAGACTGGCTGCTACAACACTTCAGAGAGTAATTAGAGTCACATTTTTTTTATTAGTCCAAAATTCAGTTTCTGACCACAAAATTGATGCACATTTTCCACTGATGTCTTTGCATTAGCAGAGACTGCTGCACCATTACAGTCTATTATTGTGATATTATCAATATCATGTTGACCTAAAATCACATAAAAAAATAGATAAATATATAGTACATGTAGCAGCCTGCTTGATTTTACCATGCTGTTGTTTCTGACAGGTGTGGTGTGTGGAGTCAGAGGAACAGAAGTCTTTTAACTGGACGGTGGACAGTGGAACACACAGTATTGAGATCAGCACACTGCAGCCCGGAAAGCTGTTCTGGGTCACGGTGGCTGCCGTTAATGGGGCAGGAGTGGGGGTCCAAAGCAACCCATACAAACTGCTCATAGGTAATCGAACAAAACGGGTATAAAACAATCATTTTAAAGCATAATCTACTCAATATGTTACCTGTTGCTCTCTTTTTCACAGAGTTGAGGCAGGAGGCGACACCGTTTCAGCCAGGCATACTCAGTATGTCTCATTTCCTTGCTGTGATTAAAGAGCCGGTATTCATCGGCAGCGTTGGCACCCTCCTGTGGTGTGTTTTGATGATTACTGCCGTGTTTTTGTACAGGAGACATGTCAGACCCACCAACCTGGGAGGCAAACACTCAGGTAATCTATAATAAAGTCTCGATTTACTTCCTTTTTTCTATACACACATAGTCATACAAATATAATTGTCTCTTTCATTTATAGGCTTGTATAGACTGGAAAGTGAAGATCTCATCATCAAACACAGGTAAAAAAAAAAAAGATGTTTGATTTAAAAACACAGTAATGGAAGCATAGTACAGTGATGATTTCTATAGAAGCTCATCTCTGTACTCCATGTGAGAAAAAAGCCATGTTTTGATAAATCAAAATTATGAGATTTAAAAAAATCTAAATTATGACATACTAAATTGCAATTATGAGATAGTCTTCTTATATTTTAGAAGTTATTTTTTATCTCATAATTATGGCTTAATATCTCATTTGTCAATATAATTTATCTCTAAAATAACTGTTTATCTCATAATCATAATTTACCAAAGCATGATTTTTTTTCTTATGTAACAGTAATACTATACTTATGAAATAGGCTTCCATGAGTAACTGAGTCAACATCCTTATAATTCCCTTTCTAGGATGGCGGCACCAGACTCTCCGTGGATCTCTGGAGGCTGGAGGCCAGATTCCAGCAGTGAGCCCAAGCAGGGCATTTGGACCCCGAGTCAAGAGAACTCTGGCTTCCGGAGGACAAGTAAGTCACAATTTTAGGTAAAATACATAGTAATAACCTCCCCTCGAGTTTCAGCCCTCATCTACTTCTCTTTTTTTCCTCTCGTCATCTCTCCGGATGACAGATACGTCCTTATAAGAACCATCAAAATACGCTTGTCACCCCTGAAGTCACGACTCTGCAGAGTCCTCATCAACTCTAATTACCATTGACATCTTGGCACATTATGTAAATCAGTCTGTTTTTACCTCCCTACTGACAGCTCTGCCCATTACGGCTAAAAAGGACTCCAACCCCCTCCGGTCAGCCGTCCCGATTGTACCAGACAATTGCGGCGTCTATGGCACCTTTTATGTGGATCTAACCGGCAATGGAATGAAGACGTTTAATAGTCCAGGTCACTGTCCCAGAATGCCTCACGGCAAATCTCAGCTGCATAACTCCGAGACCGTTCGGATCACCGAACCCATCGTCAAAACTGCCGTCGTGAGGGAAGTGCAGGCGTTGCCATGGAAACGTGCCCTCCCTGCCCAGCCCAACATGGGAGTTCTGAAGGAATCGTGGCAGAAAAATTACAAGCGTGGTGAGACATTCATTCATTCAGCGAGTCATTCACATTCATTTCGTCCAGCAGTAACACATGTTGTAATCTACTTCCAGAGCTGCATGCGGTAAAAAGTGCTCCGTTAATGCCCGTGAGTCAACGAGCATTGGCAGTGTGCAGTGCACCGAGTAACCATCAGCAAAGATTCAGTCAGCACCCTGCAGGTTTGAACATCAGCGTGTCTCGTGTTTAAAATGCTATTCTCATTACGCAGTCTATTTATTAGAACTCTTCTAAGCTGGTCTACATTCCCTCAGGTGGTGTATCAGAGCCTGTGAAGCCACTGGGTTCTCCGCGTATCCTGCACTACTCTGCCTCTCTGCAGCTGGTGGACATGTTACCCAGCCCTCCGCCTCTTCCTATGGAGGACAACCACAGCCTCAGCTCAGAGGACGAGTGAGAATCACACCTATACACAAAGCAAAATTTAAATGTGCAGAGATTTTATTGCTCATATATAGCTCAGTAGAACATGTTGGTAAAACTATTATAATATTAATTAATTGGTTAACTTTTGGTAATGCATTAGATATCTTGAAGTAACAAAGGACAATATTTTTGCCAGCATTTATTAATCTAAGTTAAAGGAATAGTTCACCCAAAATAAAATTCTGTTATCTTTTACCTTACGCCCATGTCGTCCAAACCTCAATGACTTGCTTTCTTCTGGAACACAGCAGAAGATATTTTGAGAAATGTCTGTTTTTTGTTTTTTTGCGTATGAAGGTCAGTGGGCTCCAGTATTCCAACATTCTTTCTTCGACAGTACACAAACGAAGCTATTTTCATACAGGTTTGGAATGACATGAGAATGAGTAAATGATGACAGAATTTTCATTTTTGGATGAACTACTATTTAAATGTTACTTTCTAAATACAGTTTAACATTTCAAATAGTTTAAATCACTGTTCAGTTCAGCTAAAGTAATTGAACGTTACTGTAAAGTGGTGCTGTTATGTGGCTTAAAGATATCAACTTTGTGCCATGTTTCCCCTAAAATAGGAGTAATAAAAATAAGCACAAATGAGACAATCAATGACATGCTAAAAAGAGTTTTAAAATGAATGTAGGAAACAAAATAATTTGGACTACTCTGGAAAGACTTTGTTATAAGACGTTTGCAGGTGTCTAGGGAACTCAGAGCACAGTATTTGACATCTGAATCTATAAAGGAGATATGAGATCACTGGGGTCTTTCTCTCAGCAGAAACTTCTGAGAAGCTATAAATTCATCTATTTTCTATCCATTTAATCTCTTAGCTATCTATGAGAAACAATTAAAGATATGAACGTGATCTCATTTGTGATTTTTCTTTCCTGTGGGCAACAGTATTCAGCAGAATGCTTTGAAGATTTATCAGAGAGTTCAATTCCATCTCAGTGCACAGGAACATACTAGAAGTCTTTCTTCTCACGGTGGCTTCTTTAAACGGCGATAAACTTCAGTGTTTCACCATTCTGTCATAGCAGGATGCGAGTGGTGTAAAATGACTACTGACACAAGAGCTCAAGATTTGTGTCCATTTCTCACAGACCTGTGAGGGGTTGTGGCCTTGCCTGTCTGTAATGACGGTGTCTGTGACAATACCATGTCATTATACCGTGAGAAAAGAGAAGTCTACTACTGTCTGCTCTCAAACTAAAAGTCTGGAAACCAATTTAACTTGTAGCTCAACTCTAATGGACAGGGAGTCTGAAGGGGAAATGGCCCACACTATTTATTAGAAGGTCTGTAAGTGGGAGGAAGCATTTTGAATGCTGTTGGACACAAACAGGAAGCTTCTTCCGGCAGTGCAGACTGAGGCTGGAGGCATCATGGTACAAGAGAAAGAAAAAAGTGGATAGCTGGAAGGGACACAAACACCTTCCTAAAAGAACATTTTATTATATAAATATTAGGTGTAGTGTGCTAGCTAGTATGAATTTATTTACTGGTCAAAGGAACAATTATTAATATGCTCATATTTCTGTATATCTGATCCCTCAGGTCTACCAGATCCACTAAGTTGACAGTTGACATCGGATCTCAGCAGTCTGTTTGTGCTGCCTCTGGGCTCCAGGGTCCCGCTACGGTTACTACAGGCTGTCCAACCCACCACAGCCCAGCCCAGCCAAGCCCGTCCTACAGCCACCTGTCCACGGCCTCCTTCTGTCTCTCCACTGACGACTACCAGGACACCACGCTCAGTACTCAGGGCCACACTCAATACATGGAGATCAGCCCCAAGCCACAGGGGCAAAGGTAAAAGAACACCTGAGTCCTGAGAGAACATATATGTGAAGGGAGTATCAAGACAAGGGCTAATTGTGATGTCTCCCAACAGTGCGTCCCATCAAAGTTCTCCTTCAATGCCACGTCCATTCTCTCCCACACCCACGTTTGGTTACATCTGTGGGCCTGCCGACCGGGAGATGGATGACGAGGAGGAGTCTCGGGCAGTCGGCCTCAGAAGAGCCACACTGAGGAGCACGCCCTCATCTTGTTGCAGCGAATGGGAGGGTTCGTTGTGGAACGGCTGGGGTTCGGTGTCCGAAAGCAATGTGACAAGCACTCGAACCAGTATCATCAGCTCTTCTGACTGCTCGTTCATAAACGATGCGAACTTTGCCCGCGTCTTGGCTATGACAGCCGAATCCATGAGTGGTACTTTATCAGGCAAGTTAAAACTCTCTTTAGCTTCTGTAGAATAAGTTTTAATTTATAGTCTTCACATGATTCAAGTTTTAAGTTGGTTAACAGCAAGAACAGATGTAGGTGCCAGAAATGTCCACTAGGTGGAACAACCTGCTCACGCAGTCAATGTTCTATCAGCAGCTCTACACAGATTCACCACCCCTGAAAGCTCTGCTAATTTCCACAGAAATGAAGTGAAATAAAAATGCCTGCTAAATGAATACATGTAAATATTTTGACTAATTTTAATCAAGCTTTCAGGTACCAATAAGTTTGTAGTACTCTTACAGTACATCTCAAGATATATTTCACCTTGTTTAAATGTGTTCTTGAAATTTCTACAAACTTGTAAGTTATTTATAAATCTGACCACATGAGTTGCCAAAAACTGTGATCACATTTTACTTTTCTTTCTACACCAGCTTTTCTCAGTTCATCATTGTCAGTCACTAGTTTTTCAGCTCTGCAGGGCTGTAAAATTATTCTGCATCATTTGCATAGTCAACAAAAAAGCATTATGTAAATACTTGCTGCAATTAAGTTCTATTGAAATGATTCATAATTATGTAAGACATAAACAGTCTATACAGTGCAACCAAAGTATTTTGGCACTTAAGTGTCACAAAAAATTTTGCATTAAATAACAAGGCATCAACGCAAGTGGCTTTGACAGTGTTCTATAGAAAGACAGCACAAGCAAAACGTTTCACAAAAAAGACGTTTGTTAAGTTTTAAATGATAGTTGAAGACCATGCTTTTGGGCACTCAGATTGTCAAATTTTAATGGAACATGTTCATAGTTAACTTGATAAAATACACCTGTCTTCAGCTTGAGACCAGTACATAATAATAGCAAAAATGGCTCATATAACAATGAGGTTAGTTCTGAGAAAAGCTCTAGCATTATCTGATTTGATATTTTGATGTCTAATCACATTCAGACGGTTTGAAGTGTTATTCCAGTACTTTTTGGGATCGTTGCATAACTAGAGGGGAGAACTGTATCTGAGATGAGAATTTTCATTGTCAGATCAGATTCACGAGGCACTGCAGCATTACGCTTCCCAATGAGACAGTGAAAAATAGCAGCGCTACTTTGGTACAATGAAAAATAATGGGATTTGAGGGCCTTGTCTGCAAATTGTCTGAGCTCCCCCACCATCCTCTCTGAAGTTTCAGCAAATCAATCACGGCTTTCAAAAGAGAAACCTACAGGGACTTTCCTCTCTCCATTTGCTGATTGTTTCCCCCTTTCTATCTTTCAATCTCCGTGCATGCTTCAGGTTAAATGACTAGTACACTGTAACTGATGAGTCCAGCAATGTTGTGCGTTATCATTCAGTGTTATAATGTTGAAATTGACTTGTACATCTTTATACGTGTTAACAGATTGCTTTTCTTTGTGTATTTTGTATCTATGTGCATGGGCATGCATTCATCTCCCTTGATTTCCTTCGTGATGTGTGTGTGATCCTGCATTTTCTGCAGATTTCTCCCCGCCTGCATCCCCCCTGAGTGTTCTGTTCCCCCCTCGAGAGTGTTTTGGAGAGGTGGAGCCGCTGCCCGTGTGGGATATACAGTGCAACCAAAGTATTTTGGCACTTAAGTGTCAGAAAAAATTTTGCATTAAATAACAAGGCATCAACGCAAGTGGCTTTGACAGTGTTCTATAGAAAGACAGCACAAGCAAAACGTTTCACAAAAAAGACGTTTGTTAAGTTTTAAATGATACTCAGATTGTTAAATTTTAATGGAACATGTTCATAGTTAACTTGATAAAATACACCTGTCTTCAGCTTGAGACCAGTACATAATAATAGCAAAAATGGCTCATATAACAATGGGGTTAGTTCTGAGAAAAGCTCTAGCATTATCTGATTTGATATTTTGATGTCTAATCACATTCAGACGGTTTGAAGTGTTATTCCAGTACTTTTTGGGATCGTTGCATAACTAGAGGGGAGAACTGTATTTGAGATGAGAATTTTCATTGTCAGATCAGATTCACGAGGCACTGCAGCATTACGCTTCCCAATGAGACAGTGAAAAATAGCAGCGCTACTTTGGTACAATGAAAAATAATGGGATTTGAGGGCCTTGTCTGCAAATTGTCTGAGCTCCCCCACCATCCTCTCTGAAGTTTCAGCAAATCAATCACGGCTTTCAAAAGAGAAACCTACAGGGACTTTCCTCTCTCCATTTGCTGATTGTTTCCCCCTTTCTATCTTTCAATCTCCGTGCATGCTTCAGGTTAAATGACTAGTACACTGTAACTGATGAGTCCAGCAACGTTGTGCGTTATCATTCAGTGTTATAATGTTGAAATTGACTTGTACATCTTTATACGTGTTAACAGATTGCTTTTCTTTGTGTATTTTGTATCTATGTGCATGGGCATGCATTCATCTCCCTTGATTTCCTTCGTGATGTGTGTGTGATCCTGCATTTTCTGCAGATTTCTCCCCGCCTGCATCCCCCCTGAGTGTTCTGTTCCCCCCTCGAGAGTGTTTTGGAGAGGTGGAGCCGCTGCCCGTGTGGGACTGGAGCACCGCGTGGGTGGAGGAGTTGGAGGCCCAGTTTAAAGCCTCCAGAGAGGCCAGAAGAACCCCCACATCTAGCCTACACTCGGGCATTGAGCACTGGAGAGGACATCTGGAGAACCCCTCGCACCGATGATCGACTTGCACATGCCTAGAGGTAGTTTATGGACTACATTTCCCTGCGTTCCTCAGGGCAACCCCCCCTTCTTTGTAGTTTCGAAGGACTTGGGTATGTAGCAAGGTCAATTAAGTAGAAGAACACACTGCTGCAAGGTACAATAGGTGCAGTTTATATGCCACTTTACATATGGACAGTTGAGTTGTACCACACCATAATAAAGACTATTGTACAGGACGCTCATGTTGCCATTCAAAGAAATGTAAATAAACCAATTTTATTTAATAATCCTCCACACACGATTTTGTAAAATCATATACGCTTTTATATGACAGAGTTATCTAAAATACACAGGAAATATTATTCAAGACGTTTTTTGTATTTTAGGAGTCCTTTCTTATTATTTTATAATTCAAAAATACTCTTCTTTTTTTCTTTTTTTTACATTGAAAAATGTTAGTTCATTTTGCATTTGAATTGGAATATAACTGAACTAAATGTTAGCAATTTTAGATCAATTTTTTGTTTTTATTGTTGATTATTGTTTTTTTTGTATGAACGTAGTTTGAGTAGACATACTGTTTTGGCTGTCAGTTTTTTTTTTTACGTACGTTATAAATATTCCTCAGAATTGCTGCACTACTAAAAAGCCACAGTTTAATTACTTCTATTTTTACTAACTGCCTTTTTAAAGTTAATAAAAAGATTATAAATGAACATTTTAATCGCAAGTATCTGCCTCTTGGATCACTATGACATATGTTTGTGTTTGTTGCATTTGTGTCCAACTGTCTTGTAGTTAAGGGAGCACAAGAGGTCTGTCAAGAGAACATGTACGGCCGTCCAGAGCGCTAATCCTCACCGCAAGCCAGCAGAACCAAATCAGACAACCCTAGACACCCGCTGGACAGACACACACACACACACACACACTCACAGAAAACACAAGTGACCATGGCATGACTGCAGAGGGATTATCGCTTGTTCCTTTCTCTCTCTCTCTCCCTACGGCCATATGCTTGGCACAAAAACACACCTCCCCCATTACACACTTTTATGCGTGTGCGCACAAACACACTGTTCGGATCTACAGCCTTGAATTTGTCTATGGCCAAAAAGGCATCTTTTTATAGCCTGCTGGTAATCCTTTGACTCAGTTTGCCATGCAAGAGCACACTAATACGGTACCAAGTTTTGCTCCTCTCTTGCTCAGTTTCTTTCATTCATTTGTTACAGAAGAGCACCCCACATTTGTCTGCAAGGATTATTTTGCATGAAATAATTCTACTTCTGATGAAAACGCTTGCTGATAAGCGATTGAGATAAAATATTCAACTATTCAAATATTCAACTACATTTTTGCATTTCTTATCCAAAAGGTAAAAATAAAGTCACAGCTGTGAGATATGAAGTTGAAATTATGAGAAATAATGCTTCAAATACAAGATTTAGTCACAATTGTGAGAAATAAAGTAGCAATTCTGTTATAAAGTTGCTAATATTATAACTAGTAACAAACATGACAAAGTCCAAGTTGAGAGACATAAATTTGCAATTGTGCAATATAAAATTGCATTATGAGAAATAAAGTTGCAATTTTGAGAAATATTTGTTATTATAATGTAAAGCCGGAAATCAAGTCACAATTGTTAGATATAAAGTGGCAAATGTGAGAAATAAAGTTGTGGGATATAAATTTTCAAATACAATAAATATTAACAAACCTGGGAAACTGTGCAACTGTGAGACAGAAAACTGCAAATATGAGAAAGTCAGAATTGTGAGAAATAAAGTTACAATTATGAGATAAAAAGAAAGAGTTGGTATTAGGATCTAAAGTTGCAAATGCTAAAAATAATTGGACACAACTGAAAATGTCAACTGAGAAATAAAGTTTAAATTGTTAGATATTTAAAAATTGCAGTTATGAGAAAAAAGCAAAACTTTAACTAGAAACTGTAAGATGCAAAACGTATTATTACTTCTATTGTCATTTTGTAAGGTAGAAAAAGGTTTCTATAAAAAGTACAAGTCTGATCGTTTCAAAAAGTAATCACATACATTTGCTCAGCAATCTGCATATTTAGAGGTATCATTCAGTACTACAAAATGGTACTGGATTAGTTCTGCTCCAAAGTTTAATACTTACTGTTAAGGGTTTGTTCAAATGTCTAATCTTAAGTATAAGTGATAGCAATAGTAATGACTTTAGCAAGCAACACTAAAATATGCCAGCGTCATTGTTTCCAAATTTCTGTCAGACCATTTCTAAATTCTGTCAGCCCCAAATGTTTCCAGGAATAGTTAGCACATGGGACAGATTTTCAAGGTAATGCATTGCGGCACTAAATTATCGGCTAAATTTATATTAATGTCCAACACCTGAGTCATCATCTCTCTTGACTGCATCCGTCAACGCACTAAATGAAAATTAAAGCCCCTGTGTGGCGCGCCATCCAGTCGAGTGGGCTTACCCAGGGTCCCGTGCCCAGTCGGAGGTTCAGAGGCGGGTGTGTGGAGATGAGAAATGGCAGAGTGTTTTGCACAGACCCCATGGGATCCAGCCTTCTGTTGGCCTTCACTGACCCAGATCTGCCCTGAGAAAGATTAAACTCAAGGGTCCTTCTGTTCCCTAAAGCCTACGCTCCACAGGCAGGGTACACAAATCCAAACCAGTTCGACTGGAGCTGCTGAGAGAAAAGAAAAAGCATTTATGTGCAATTGGTCGAGAATTGCAGAGATTACACCAAACAGTCAACTGCGTATTCAAGAACCTCTCACGGGCCGATGGTTCGGTTTATCTCAGAGGCGCAAACATTGCTCACTTGCCACATAAATGAGTCCTAGTACCTAGCTAACAGCCCGGCAGCTGTGTGGCTCTAAACGCTAATATCATTCTTTTCTCATCTCTAAAGAGCATTCAGCCGTTTTAACCCGGTGTTCATCGTAAAACATCTTGACATTGATTTCAAAGCCAAATGCCAAAGCCGCTGTTTTACTAGTTTGTTTGAACATTGTCCTCTTGGTTTTAATGTGGCAATTGCATGCGCTTTGCATACATTAAATGAACAATGAGGTTGAAGGCATCCATCTTGGGGTTCTGTAATTAACATGGAAATGGGAGAATGGTATTTTGACTGTGCTTTGCTCCCCTCTGGCCCTCCTGGGTGTGTCTTCACTGACACAAAGCTAATGAATGAGCTAGTGATTTATGGGTAGTGGGTCTCCACTTAAGGAAGAGTGCGTGTCTTGACTACTTGGTCTGAATTCTAAGGAGACCTTCAAAGGTGAAAGCTCAGATGTACCCTCTACCTCTCTCAAGAAATTGCACCCTCCGTGTGATCCACCTCTAGGATTGATTCATATTGAAAATGATAATCATGAGAAGAACTTTGACTGGCTGCTCAAAACTTAAATCCCATTGTTTATGAGGCTTGGAAAATGTAATAGCACAAATTAGTACCTACATGGTTATGTTGAACACAGTGGAACATGTTATTGGATCAACAGCCTTGTTAAAATGGGGTTTTTAGTTCCAACTTGCTCCAACACCTCCCTGGAATGTTCTAGTAGTCACACAGACCTTGCTTATCTGGAGGTTTGTTTAATTAAGGCTGGAGAAAAACTGCAGGAAGATGGACACCTCAGGGTTATTTTATTAAAATTTTTTATTGTTATTTTTTGTACATGGATACTGTTCCAGAATTACAGGTGGGAACTTAGTCCGTTCTGTGTGTGTGTGTGTGTGTGTGTGTGTGTGTGTGTGTGTGTGTGTGTGTGTGTGTTAATTAATTAATGGAACCGAATGACACTCGGTTCTATTAAAGGGGTCATATGATGCGATTTCAATTTTTCCTTTCTGTTTGGAGTGTTACAAGCTCTTGGTGCATAAAGAAGATCTGTAAAGTTGCAAAGACTAAAGTCTCAAATCCAAAGAGATATTCTTTATAAAAGTTAAGAGTCAACCACGCCTACCTAAAATGGCTCGTTCTAACACGCCCCCACATGTCTACGTCACGATGTGGGAAGATTTGCATAACACCGCCCAAATGTTCACACAAACAAAGAAGGCGCAACTTTTATTCTTGCTGTAGTATTGTTGTTGCCGCCGCCATGTCGTGAAGACACTGTGTGTTTCGTTGTGAAAGCGAAACTACTTTGTTTGGCCTTCCAAAAGAGGACGATATCCGCTTCGTCATGCCTGGAGCTGATCCGTGCTGGTTGCTGAGGAAATACATCAACTTCGACCTGTGGATCGCCGGATCGGCTTTCACCGAGTCCAGCCCTGGCTCGTCACATGTGGTTGCCGCAAGCCAGCCGGCCGCTCCTTCGTCGAATCCGCAGGCCACGCCGTTCACAAGCCCACTCACTCTAGTCGGCCGGCCGGCGCTCACTCTAGCCCGCAGGCCTCCGCTCACTAAAGCCTGCTGTGTGTGACGCTGTGTGTTTCGTTGTGAAAGCAAAACTACTTTGTTTGGTCTTCCGAAAGAGGACACGACTAGAAATCAGTGGTTAAGTTGTATTTACAACACTGTTCCAGAACACTTCAACCCAAATATTCAGATGTGTGCAGCACATTTTAAGAGTACTCCTGGAAGAGTAACGTTAGACTAAAATGGCAGTTCTGACTCACGTAAGTACGTTTTCATGCCTCGTTTGTAATGGGTTTTATTGGTTTTGTCTGGTCGTGCCGGGAGATGGCATCACAGTATGGTAACACTGGTAACCGTTCTGTAACACTTGCGTTTCTTATTAAAGTGCCCTTATGTATTTTTGAAAATTACCTTTCATGCAGTGTGTAACAGCTCTAAGAGAATGAAAACATCCTGCAGCGTTTTAAATCTGAAAGTGCACCGTGTATAAAGTTATTGTCTCTCAAAAGAAAGAGTGACTCTGAATCATTGAAACGAGTCGTTTTTAAAACAATCCACATGAAACATTAGCATATTGCCCACCCACTTGTTGGTCTTTTGGCATTGGTCTGAATGAAAATGCAAATTCTTTGCCACTAGGTACCGCTTTTGGAGCGGTAAAATAGCTGTTTCCCTGGTAACGCTGTACACAAAGCAGCACTGAGCTCACAAACGCTGCTTTATCAGGCATTACAGGCATGATCCAATCACCGCAGATTAGCGTCACGCAAAGGAGGGGTTTGGAAAAATGAATCGTTGAGCGAATCGTTTTGAGTCTCTCCAAGTAGGTATAACTGCAGACCGGAGATCTCCAAAATGGGGCGTGAACTCCAAAAGTGGGCAGAACCTCCAAAATGGGGCGGGGTCTTGTCGCGCAAAGACTTTCAGCATTGGCTCTGGCTCCAGCCAATTGTTATTGACTTACATTTCAAAATAAAACTTTATAAATTAAACATTGTTTCTAGTTCATCTAAAATAAAATATGTTATATAAGTAA